CACACACACACACTCACACTCACACACTCACACTCACACACTCACACACACACACACACTCACACTCACACTCACACACTCACACATACACGCACTCACACTCACACATACTCACACACACACATATACACGCTCTCACACACACACTCACACACACACACACACACACTCATACACACACATACATGCACTCACACACTCTCACACACTCACACTCACACTCACACTCATTCACACACACATATACACGCACTCACACTCACACATACACACACTCACACTCATACACACACATATACATGCTCTCACACACACACTCTCTCACACACACACACACACACACACACATACACATACACACACACACACGTGTAGAATGTTAATAATTTTTATCCCTTTGAAACCTGAAGACGTGTTTCAGTGACCTGCACTGGAGTTGGGGATTCCTGTAGTTTGATGAACTGCTTGTTTTCACATTCACATCATTCAGTGTGACTCTCTCTCTCTCTCTCTCTCTCTCTCTCTCTCTCTCTCACTGTCTGTCTGTCTCTCTCTCTCTCTCACTGGTGCTGTCTTACTATCAAATTGAATGTCAGTTTAGAGTGGTTTGTTGGCATGACTAAACTGTGTTTGTGAGAGTGTTAGTGTGTGTGTGTGAGAGAGTTAGTGTGTGTGTTTGTTCCTCTCTCGAGTACCGATGCATGACAATAAAGAGATTGTACTCATACTCATACTCTCACTCACTCACACACTCACACACACACACTCTCACGCACGCGCACACACACACACAGATACACACACACAGGTTTGTTTTTGTGAAAAGTGCGTTCTCTCCATAGGTGTAATGGTTTTTATACTGTACAGACCGTATATTCTATTGCCCTACACCACCAATTATAATATTTTAACCAAAGTAAAATATTTTTAATGTTGACAATGAGAAAGTAAGAGATTAGTTTGGAAAATAAAAGAAAATATTTCAAATGTATTAATGAGCAATAATTACATTTATTGTTTTATTTACTGTCATTAAAGGTAAAGGTGGAAAATAGCATTTTCAGTATATTTTGACAGTTGACGATGACAAAGTGAGTCAGATTAGTTAGGAAAATAAAATAAAATATTTTACATTTATTAATGGGCAATAATTTAATTTATTGTTATTAAAGGTAAAGGTGAAAAATAAAGCGAAATAGTTAGGAGCCTTAGTTTAGTTAATGGTTTCGTCGGTCGTGTCTCTCTGGGAGTTTTGACTCGTTGGACTCATTTTTGTCCATGAGGATTATTTGCTCGTTTGTGATTAAAAAAGAAAAGTGTAATTTGCATTTCTGACAATCTCGTTATTGTCATGCATCGGTACTCGAGAGAGGAACAAACACACACACACTAACACTCTCACACAAACACGCACACTCTCTCACACACACACACACACTCTCGCACACACACACTAACACTCTTACAAACACACTCACCCACGCACACACGCACACACACACATGATCATCTGAACCGGTCGATCACTGATTGTGTACTTTGACTAAATGTGTGTGTTTCTGTGTGTTTTGTTCAGCGTTTGTTTTCTCCGGTCGATCATCTTCAGAAACGAGATGCTTTTATGCATAATGAGCTTCATTAGAAAACATTAGTCTAATGAGCTTTACTCCTGTTCCCCTGTCAGCGATTGACTTTAGCTTCAGCATTAGAATATGTTTGCTTAAAGCTTGTTAATTAAATATCCGATAATCGCCACACCTGCGCAAACACACATACACACACACAATGCAAAGAGAAGCAAATTACAATCAACAGACGTGTTAATAACACTCAAGTGTGAGTCTGTTTGTCACTTTTTCTGTTTCTCTGTTCTCTTCTTTTTCCTCTGTCATTATCTCCTCCTCTCTTTCTCTCTCTCCATCCGTTCCTCTCATCTCTCCTTCAGTTGGATTCTGTCAGAAGTGCTTTGTTGGCGCGACACGTGGCTTGTGCTGCCAAACTGCGTTGTGATTAAAATGCTAACGTTGTGTGTTGTGGCTTAAATATCCCACAAGACCACAGCAAGATGACGTCTCTGCAGAGTGTGTGTGCGTGAGAGTGTGAGTGTGCGTGTGCGTGAGTGTGTGTGTGTGAGAGTGTGAGTGAGTGAGAGTGTGAGTGAGTGAGAGCGTGAGTGTGTGTGTGTGTGAGTGTGTGCGTGAGAGCGTGAGTGTGTGTGTGTGTGTGCGTGAGAGCGTGAGTGTGCGTGTGTGTGTGTGTGTGTGTGTGTGAGAGTGTGTGTGTGAGAGTGTG